CTAAGGTTTTTTAACGAGACAACCGGCACATGTCGCGGACCGTGTAACCAGTTTTTCCAGCCCGAACCCTTCCTCCCTAACTCATCGTTAGAGCACGGGCTGGGGGGGCCTCATGATAAGTTATATACCTCGGGTTCGTGCCCTCGCTTACAGTCGAGTCGGGGTCTAGCGGTTCGGGTCTTGGTCTACGGATTAGGGTCAAATAGGGATGGCAATATGCCCTGTCCCCGTCGGGGATCCCCGGGCCCCGTAGGGGACGGGGACGGTGATGGGAAAAAATTTCGGGGATCGGGGACAAGGATGGGGAATTTTTTAATTCCCTGACGGAGACGGGCATACCCCTCCCCGCCCCGCCCCGTCCCGTTCCCGAATAATTATTATTATATATATATATTATTTATTTATTTTAGTTATAATATATATATATATATATATATATATATATATATATATATATATATATATATATAATACTTAAATTTTTATTTTTTAAAATTAAAAATTACACTAATTTTAGATTTTAACTAAGAGTTGATCGGGGACGGAGAATCCCCGTCCCTGCCAAATTTGCCGCAGAGACGAGGATGGGGACTATTTTTAATTTTCCATCGGGAATGGGGACGAGATCGGGGTTTCGAGAACGGAAACGGGGAATATACTCCCCGCTCCCGCCCCGTCCCGTTGCCATCCCTAGGGTCAAAGATGACGGGTCAAACCCGAGATGGGTCAAACCCGCCACCTCATTGACCCTATAAAAGGGCCTTTAGCCCTTTGAGTTGGGGGATATCTATCGGCCCTCTCTCTCTCTCTAAGCTCTATATGCCTCTCCATTCTCTCTTTATACAGAAGAAAAGGAACACCATTAATAAAAGAAGCATTTGAGCTATTTCTCATATTTCCTCCTTGTTCATACATTGCTTACATATATATACATCTAGTACATACACCCTGTATACGGAGGAAATAGTACTATCAATATGCTTACTACTTAAGTTGAGATTTAAATTAAACATTCAACCTATTGTATAATAAAAATTATTCACTACCACTTTAATATACACGCATCTTATTATTTTATTGCAAAGTATTATTTATTTAAAATTATTACATTTTTCATTAGAAGTATCATATTATTACGGTCTCTCATAAATAACAATCAATTAATTTATTTCTTATTAGTTACACATTTTTTCTAATAAATAACTATTTAATCTCTAAATATTACACTTCCATTTAAAAGTATGGAATTTCTCCTTTAAATATTACACTTTCCCTAATAAGTAACAAACAGTTTATTCAGAATTAATATTACATTTTCATCTTGACATGAGGCAATCATTCTTCCAAAAGGTTGAACCTCAACCCTAAGGGCCTGGCAGAGCATTTGGGAGGATGTAAATCCAATAGTTATGATGTGCATCCGTATGCACCATGCATGGTGCATACGGATGCAAAAACGACGTCGTTTTGACTAAAAAACGCACGTCCCTTTAAAAAAAAAAAAAAAAAAACAGGTTCGATTCCCAGCAATAGCATTATAGTGGATATATAGTTTGGATATATAGTTATGAATTTGTGGATATATAGTTATGAATTTATGGATATTTAGTTCATTCATTGTGGATATTTAGTTCATTCATTGTGGATATTTAGTTTATTCATTCTGGATTTTGTGTTATTCATTCACTGTGGATATATAATTATGAATTTGTGATATATAGTTATGAATTTGTGGATATATAATTTAAATTGGACACAAAAAAATGCTATTGTCGGGAATCGAACCTGATTTTTTTTTTAAGTGGGACGCGCGTTTTTAGTCAAAACGACGTCGTTTTTGCATCCGTAAGCACCATGCATGGTGCAAACGGATGCACAGCATAATTTGCCGCCAAAATTGAGTCTGTCCAGCTCAAGGGGCAATTTATATCCTGCACCACGGCGCGCGTTGCATTGTGCACCCAGATGCAAAACGATGTCGTATGGGTATGGGTTTTGCTGCACAATTTATTAATTTAATCATGTACTGCGTGACCACTGTGAGATATAAGGTTGGTGTTAATGGGGACCTCTCTGATTGTATCCAACCTAGTTGTGGATTGAGACAAGGCGATCCATTGTCTCCTTATCTATTTATCTTATGCGCGGAGGGTCTTTCTCATTTATTATCGGACGCTGTGACTCAAGGTTCTATTTCGCCGTGTGTGGTTGCGAGAGGGGCTCCGGGAATCTCTCATCTATTTTTCGCAGACGATAGCCTTTTATTTTTTAAAGCTACGGTCCAGGAGGCTGAATCAGTTAAAGGTTGTCTTGCTAGGTATGCTTGTATGTCCGGGCAATGTGTAAACTTTGCAAAATCTTGTATTATGTTTAGCCGGAATACGACTAATACAATGAGGCACGGAGTTGCAGCTGTTCTCAATGTAACGCAATCAGATTCAATTGGTCGTTACCTTGGCCTACCGATGGGTGTTGGAAGGAATAAAACCCAAGTTTTTGCTTATATTGAAGACAAGTTAAAGCAAAGATTAGGTGGATGGAATAAAAAGATTTTATCTAGAGCTGGCAAGGAAATTTTGCTTAAGAGTGTTGCTCAGGCTCTTCCAACATACACGATGAGCATTTATTACCTGCCTATTACGTTTTGTGAGCGTCTTGAACGTGTTATGAACAAATTTTGGTGGCTTTCAAGTGCAAATCGTGCTGGGGGAATAAGGTGGATGTCTTGGGAACGGATGTGTGGCCCGAAGACGAAAGGTAGACTCGGTTTCAAAAACTTACATAAGTTTAATATTGCACTTCTGGCAAAACAAGGTTGGAGGATACTTTCAAATCCTAATTCCTTAGTAGCTCGTATCTATAAGTCACGTTATTTCCCAAAATGCGATTTTCTGGAGGCTAAACTTGGTGCAAATCCTAGTTTTTGTTGGAGATCAATGCTGGAAGGACAAAATCTGTTACGTGGTGGTTGTTATCGTAGGATCGGTAACGGTAGTGATACTCATATCTGGAAGCATCCATGGCTACCAGATGAGGGGGATCCTTTCGTTCATACTCCTATGCCTGCGTCTGCTGAAAATATGCTTGTCAGTGAGTTGATCGTGCCAAACACAAACGATTGGAATCTTGCGAGACTTAACGAGCTTTTTGAGCCGAGAGATGTGGCTTTCATTAGACAGGTTCCTATCTCTCAGAGTTATGATGATGCCTGGTGTTGGAAGGGGGATATGCGTGGTTGTTATTCAGTCAAACTTGGATACAGGTTGCTCAATTCTTATCCATCTATAACAGCACCTACGGATGAGAGATTTTGGAAAAAACTGTGGTCGTTGAAGATACCACCAAACATCATAAACTTTGTATGGCGCTGCATGCAAGGTATTATTCCGAATATGGTTACTATTCATTCGCGAGGGGTGGAGGTTGATGTCAGCTGTCCTTTATGCCATCAAGAACCTGAGACGCTGCAACACTTGTTATGTGAGTGCATGTGTGTGGGTGAAGTATGGAATGGTTTGCATGTTTTGCCATTAGTAGAAACCAGTAATGTTGCTTCATGGTTGGCAGGGATCATTTTAGCTGGAGATGTCATGTTAATGCTGCAATGCGTGGCTAGGTGTTGGGCTATTTGGAGAAATCGAAATGCTTTGATTTGGAATTCCAAGCCATGGCAGCTAATAAATGTCAAAATGGAGGCAGCTTACCTGGTGTCTGATTGGCAGGTACTCTTAACAGAAAGCCACTCGGTTCCGTATTCAATAGCCTTGGAGTCTAATCCAATCACTGTTGCTCAGGGAGTTGTTAAAATTTCGGTTGATGCTGCTGTTTTCCCTAACTCCCATTTTGGTTTCTTTGGCATGGTAGCTATATGGACAGTACAGGAGGTTTTTTAGCAGCCAAAAATGGATCTTTTACTTGCATTAATGATGCTTATCTTGCCGAGGCCATGGCTGTGAAAGAGGCGCTATCATGGGCTAAAGATCGTGATTTAAATAGGGTGATGATTTTATCGGATTGTCAATTGGTATGTAAGGGTATTAATGGGACGGCGAAGGATTTCTCTTATGCCGGCTGTGTTATCGATGAAATAAGAGAGTATCAAAGACACTTTGAAGTAGTGTCTATCATATTTATTCCAAGATCAGTGAATAAGGCTGCCCACGCTTTAGCAAGGGTTGCTCGTTCGCAAACTGATCCTTTCATGTATTTTTCTTCCATTCCTAGTTGTATTCAACACTTGATTTAATAAAAGTTCGTTCCTTTGGTTTTCAAAAAAATTGAGTTAGAGTAGTTGGTTAAGCATATGTTTGGTAATAATATAGGTTTAGGGTTTGAATCCTGGCATTAACATAGTTTATATATATAACATTCTTTTAAAAATATAAATTTTCGATGTGTTTTATTTTTCGTCCATATCCAACAATATTTACAAATATATTTCTTATGTAATTTATTTATTTATTTTTATATTATCTCTTTTGTTTTAATGTTTCGCTTTTACTGGAAAATTTTTCTGAATCCATCTGTACTTTTTCACCCCACTCAACCGAATTTTTGGCTCCGTCCTTGCATGAATGTACATAATTGTATAACAAAATACACATACTCTTTTTTAAAAGATAATACACATAATCTAACATAATACATAATAAACATAAACTTTTAACATAATACACATCAACTCTTAACATAATACACAAAAATTTCCTGATTCGGATGTACATAATTGTATAAAAAAAATGTATATAAATGTATAAAAAATGTACATAATAAAAAATATAAATAATTACATAAACAAATCGCTAGTGCACTGTGCGCCGTGGTGTAGGGTATAACGATTGAGCTCAAGGACATTCGGCCTTCATCTTTCTAGACCAAACAATTAATCCTTTCTTCAGAATGGCCCAATGCCCAGCTTCGTGATTCGGCCTGGCAAAATTAAACCAAACAGCCCAGATTTTAAAAAAGAAAATTAAACCCAAGTTTTGGGGCTGTTTTTTATTTTATTATTATTATTATTTTTACACTTTCATTATGTGGTTTTGAGACGCCGCACGCGAGACGACGAGACTCCTTCTTCTCTGCTCTCGCCGAGTAGCCATTGCGCCTGCCTCGCCACCACCAGTCCACCAGAGACCAGACGGCGCCTCTTACTCGCCCGTCCCCATCGCCTCTGCCTCGCCAGACGCCAGTCGTCGCCACCGTCTTCTGCCTCGCCAGCTGCCAGGTTCAACTTCTCGTCTTCTCAGTTCTCACTCCTTGTTCAATTTGTTAGCATGTTTGCTTAATTTACTTAATTCTCGTCTGCACACTGCCCAGGTTCACTTGATTTTGCCCTATTTTTCTTTGTTGAATTGGTGAATTGTTTGTTGAATGACTGCTCGTCTGCTCTAAATCCTAAATTTGCCCTGCTGGTTTAATAATTTTGTTTATTGAATATTTGAATTGTTTGTTGAATGGTTGCTGAACTGTTGGTTTAATTTATGCTGCTGGACTGGACTGGACTGCTCTAAATCCTAATGCTGCTGGTTTTTTATTGAAACATTTGTTCTTTATATAGAATGAAATTAAATCTTTGAAAAAATGAATGTTGGGTTGCTAGAAGAAATTCTATGTTTCATAGACCTTATACTTCGGATTTATTGTTTGCTGCATCTGCAAATTAAAATTACTGATTCTACATTTTCTTTGGGTGCCATGAAAATTGAAATTACCAGTGGCAGTCGAGGTAAATATGGTAGCCTATTGTTGGAGTTTTAATTTATTACCAAGCTTTTTGGCAATGTGATTTCTGAAGAACTTGAAAGGCACTGAATTGAAGTTAATTGATTTCCACTTTCCAGTACATGAAGAGATTAGAGATGAATGGCATTTGTTTCTTTTCCTCCAAATTCTTTTGACCACTAACAAGGAATATTGCTTTAAAGTTTTATAATGTTTTATTGTTTATCACGTGCAAGCAGTACCATTTAGTTGCTTATGTTAATATTCCGTAGTTCAACATAAATCTTGTATTGTACTCCATAATTTATAATGTATTTTGTATTTTAACAATCTTATTTATATTTGAATCTCGTATTTAAACATTTTTTAAGTTTATTTTCCCTTTGCTTCTTCACCCCCACTCAAGATAAATCCTAGCTCCGTCCCTGTTTGGGTAGATTGGCATTTGGAAATGGTAGCTATGGTTTGTACTAACTTTGGAATGAAACTAATGGCCTTACAGGCTAAGTTAAGCCAACTTTCCAAAAATATTTTCTAAGATTTTGTCATTGACCGGTACTTCTCAGTTCGAAGAAGTGCCAGAGCATAGCGATTGATTGTAAAAATAATAATTTTATTTTCAAAAGGCATAGTGACCGAGAAGTGAAGAGTACATTTTGGGTGTCTAAACTGATAAAAATAGTAATGTTATTTTCAATGGTAAAAATAATATTTAATATGATACATAGTGATTGATTGTCTATTGAAGTTTTAGTGTGTGTGTGTGTGAACATAAAAAGTATATGAGTATTATATTTTTGAAATTTACAGAACTTATTGTAAAACTTGATAGGATTAGAGGAAAAGTTTGTATGTTTAGACAGAAGGAACAAATTTGTATAGAAAGTTTAAAATTTTGAGGTTTGATTGTGGATTTTAACTATTTATATTTGTAAAAAAAAATGTATAGAAACTCTAATTTGATAGTCTTACAAAAATGGAAATAAACAAAAATGAAATAAATAAATGAGTTTTTCTAAAAATGATCCCTCGACTATTCCCAAAATGGTCCCTTGACTATTTTTCAGAGTATATTAGGCATATAATAGGTAAATGGACGAAAATGACCTTCATTTTAACACTCAATAGACGAAATTTCTAACGGAGGACCAATTTGGGAGAGTTTTTAAAAGTCAAGGGACCACATTGGGTGCAATTAAAAGTTGAAATGTAAAATTGAGAATGAGCAATAGTCGAGGGACCATTTTGGGAATAAACTCTTTTCAGAAATTTTTATGCTTTTGGATGTTGAGAAATCAAAACCCTAATTCCTCTTTCCCCTTTCTCCTAAACCTATCTTCTTCTCTATTTCTCTATCTGTTTCTTCTCTGCATCTCTATCTCTTCTGCTTCTTCTCTGCTTCTCGTCCATTTCTGCTGTGTTTTTCCTTATCAAATTTCCAGGTTCGTGACAGTATATCTGTATATACACACTCATGACAGTTCATTCCTGAATTGCAGATCAAATCATTAGAAAATGCTTGACATAAATCTATTCCGAGAAGACAAGGGCCACAACCCTGAAGTCATCCGAGAATCTCAACGGCGGCGGTTTGCTAACGTTGATATTGTTGACGAGGTCATTGAGCTTGACAAAGTGTGGCGTCAGCGTATGTAACTTTGACTCCCTTTCTCACTAATTTTCATTTAGTCCCTAAGATGTACTCCTTAGCTAACTTCTAATAAGACTTGGATGTTGGTGATGCATAATATAGGTCAATTTGAGTTCGATAATTTGCGTAAAGAATTTAACAAGATCAACAAAGCAGTGGCCAAGCTGAAGATAGTAAGTCTGCCTAATATTTACTCAATTATTCCTACAACACTTTACACAGTTCTCTGGGGAGGTGCCATCTTTTTATTTTATTTTATTATTTTATTAGCCATGACAGATGCCATTGATGTTATGTTAGTGTATGGTTTCACACTTTCACTATGATGCATATTTGACTTGATAGCATTAGTGGTGGGAAAAAATTATATGCTAAAATCTAAAGTCTTCTGTTCTAAGGCCTTTATGATAATTTAATCTCACTTTTGTAAAAATCAGCCTATGCACCAATGTTGCAGAAGGCGCTAGGACGCCTAGGCAGCCGACTAACTTTTTTTAAAAAAAAATAGTGGCAGCAGTGGCAGTAAGGCAGTTTCCATATAACATATGGCATATGTATTAACATACTTAGGCAAATTGGGTTGATTGGCAAAGGAAATAGTGCGATAATAAGGTGAAGTTAATACGCCACTAATGAACTTTTTGGTGTGCAATGTGTACACTGCTGTGTTTTTCTTGTTATTATTACTCGCCCGCCTAGGCGCTAGGCGCCTCCCGGCAATCCCGGTGCCCGACTAGCGGCTAGCGGCCTCTACAACATTGTTTAATCTACTTATGCACTCTACCCTATATTAGTGACTTTTAAAAACAGATTATTGTTTTATGATACTAAATTTTGACTGTAAATCTGCTTAAGTAGTAAGTTAAAAACATTCAATAATATTGGTTAAAGTGCAATTACTTCATCTTAAGGTAGGAAGAATAGTGCTAAGATCTTACCTGCTATAACTTGGGTATTTGGTGTTTGATTTGAGAAGTAATACTACTAGAATGTAAATGGTAAGTTTAAAAATATGATCCTTCACTATTTTTGTGATTTTTATTACTGAGTAGGTTGAAATTTCCTTGCTTTTTTTTTTTTTTTTTTTTTTTTTTTTTTTTTTTAAAGTTCTATAGAACTACTTTTTTTAATGTCATTTTCCAAGAGTGAGATGTGTTTCTCAACTAGCAAAAGGAACAATATGTCTCCAATGTTTGATTTCTCCAAGACTGAATTATGCAATTTGATTTGGTAAAGGCCAAAGAAGATGCAAGTGAGTTAATTAAGAATACCGAGGAGAACAAGAAATTGACTGCAATAAAGGAGGAAGAAGTGCAGGAGGCCCGAGCAGCATTGTATAAAAGGTTGGAAGTTATTGGAAACCTTGTGCATGACTCAGTTCCAGTTAGTGATAATGAGGTGTGTTAGTATCATTGTACTTTATTTATTGTTTCATTCATTAAAAGTCTTTTCCCTCATTTTATGTTAACATGAATTTCCAGGACAATAATGCTATCATTCGTCAATGGGGTGATAAGAGAACTGAATCAGGGCTTAAAAACCATGTTGATCTTGTCAAGCTTCTTGGGATTGCAGATTTGGATAAGGGTATTTCTTTTCATATTTGTAGCATCTAGGGTTCACATAATTTTTTACAAACTTGACATTAATTATTGCCCAAGTTATCTGTTTAATTGAGTCTTGAGATGAATAATGCTATGTATACTTTTGCTTATCTGTCTTTGTCTCTTAGTATTTTTTATCTTTCCTTATTTAAATTCGATCCTCCATTCATTTAGTTTCACTATCTTTCCCATGTCTTATTTGTTTCTTATTCTCTGCTAATTTGCATGTACTTTACATATTTAGGTGCAAAAATTGCTGGAGGTAGAGGCTACTATCTGAAAGATGCTGGTGTTGATCTGAACCAAGCACTAATCATGTTTGCCCTTGATTTTTTGAGAAAAAGGGGATACTCTCGGTTGCAAACTCCTTTCTTCATGAGGCAAGATATCATGGGAAAATGTGCTCAACTAGCACAATTTGATGAGGAACTCTACAAGGTAACTCCCCTGATGTTTCAATAAACATGGCTTCTTGAAGTCTTGATTTCTGCAGTGTAGTTCACACATTTCAAATTGAAGTTCAATGGAAAAAGCCTTTGAAGGTGGTTTAGTTTTTGAAGGGCTTCTCCGTGGTTGAACTTGGTGTATCTCCATTTTTTAAATTTTCTTTTTCTTAAGTTTTGATGAAATCAATTATCTAACTGATTGAGTTATCTGTTTTCTAATAGGTAACTGGTGAGGGAGATGACAAATATCTAATTGCGACATCTGAACAGCCTCTGTGTGCTTATCATATGGATGATTGGATTCATCCCTCAGAGCTACCATTAAGGTATTGACTACTTTTGTGGACCTGGTACTAAAACCTTTAAAACTATTGTTTCATTACAGGATGCAAATAGTTTCTTTCACCTTTTTTCCCTACTATTTTTGTTAGATATGCAGGATATTCGACTTGCTTTCGTAAAGAAGCTGGTTCTCATGGCCGTGACACTCTTGGGATTTTTCGTGTTCATCAATTTGAAAAAGTTGAGCAATTTTGTATAACTAGCCCAAATGGCAATGACTCCTGGGACATGCATGAGGAGATGTTCAAGAACTCTGAGGAATTCTTCCAGCAGGTCATAACTTTCATGGAATACTGCATGTTTCTTGCAATGTTATTTGTTTTAATTGCTACTTTTTATATGCCTAAGCATCCAAAAGGTTGTACTTGTAATTTATTTATTGTTTGACTGATGATTCATGATTGTTGGTAGAAAGGAAATAGTCTACAATGTTCCTGATAGGATGTTAGAAATCTACATCCTAATTTTGGCATATTAGGTTGGCCTATGCACAGTAGCTCGAGTATATCACTAAACTATTTTCAACCAACTTTCTGTGCATATTCTGTATACACTTTATCCCTATCTCCAATTTGACAGGAAGGTTTAGCCTTTAATAAATTGAAGAATTCAAAGTGAAACAATGAAAATGACGCTGCTTCTCCACTATGCATCAATTTCTTTCTTGTTGCCTTTGCCACTATGCGTTCAGTTCCTTTTTGTTAGCTGCATAATCCTCCTTATCTTATTATTATTATTATATATATATATATATATATATATATATATATATATATATATATATATATATATATATAAGTACTCTTAGATGAGAGTTGCTCCCCTCTTCTCTGGGCTGCTGAGTATGAAGGGAAAGGCTAAAAGATTGCAAATTGTGCCATGAACCCCCGCACATGTTGCGTGATATGCCCCTTGTAGTATAGCATGATGCTGTTCACATAACATGCTGTGCCAGAAAGCATAGTTATTCCAAATGCTATAACCATGGTACAAGATGTATTTCACCAGAGTGTTTAATGCCTGACCTTTTTTCTTTATTATTATATTTTTTCTTTATTCTTTACTTCTCTTTATTAGGGAAAAGTAGGAACAATTGTATAGTTTTTTCATAGCACTTTACATGAAATATGCATTTTATACCATGACTGTGAAGTTCAAAGTATGGTGTTTCGTTGCAGCTAAAGATTCCCTATCATGTTGTTTCAATTGTTTCTGGTGCATTAAATGATGCTGCTGCAAAGAAGTACGATTTAGAAGGCTGGTTCCCTGCCTCTGCCACACACAGAGAACTTGTTTCATGCTCAAACTGCACCGATTACCAATCAAGAAGATTGGAAATTCGGTATGGGCAGAAAAAGGTGGGATTTGCTTCCTCTATTTTTTGTCTCCTTAAAAATATACTCTTTTGAGATTACCTATATAAAATATTTAAATGTTACTCCATACTACATATTACTATTTGGGGGATAAAATTCATTCAATGGTCTGTTTGGTTGGTGTATGCCTACAAAATTTGCTCTTAAATACGGACTATGAGGTATATGCTATGGCAGTGATGGTTAGGTTAATGTTGTGCATATTTTCTTACCTTTCTCCTCGTCATCATTGCTGACACACACAGGGAAATGAGCAATCGGCGAAACAATATGTTCATTTATTGAACTCTACTTTGACGGCAACAGAGAGGACTCTCTGCTGTATCCTCGAGAATTACCAGAAGAAGGATGGGGTGGAGGTCCCCCAAGTATTGCAACCTTACATGGGTGGAGTCACATTCCTTCCGTTCAAGACCGTCCCAACTGGTAAAGATAAAAAATCCAAATGACCATTTACTTACTTTCTAACGCCTTCAAACTAGAAACAAGGCTTTAAGGAAACACTATGTCAAGTTTTAGAAAATATAACTTAAGAATGATTGTTTGTGATCCAATGCCCCTTGTGACTGATTTGAGAAGCTGTCGTTGCATGGTAATGGCTTACTGCACAAATGTTTCGGATACATATACTACTGTTCTACCTGATGACTGATGTTGTGTTAAAGGTTTTTTTTTTTTTTTTTTTTTTTTTTTAAATGCTTCTTGGAGCTCAGCTTAATGCCTAGCTAAACATACAGAAAACATGAAATTACTCAAGTGTCACTCATTTGTGACAAGTCAGTAAAAAAGACAATAATCACTGGTAAACTCTGTTGGAAGATTATAGAAAAGAAGGATTAGAAGGGCAAATAGCAATCAAACTATTTAGTGGACAAAAAATAATAATGGGAAGCTAAGGTTAACCAATTAACCTGCAGTGATCACGGTGGAACATTTTTGTAAGTCAAACATAATAATTATATTGCAGATTTCCCATGAGTGATGCATTTGGAAACACACACAAAGAAACAAACCTTTCTGAACCATTAAGGGGAGAAAAGATTAGGTAACAACATATATGATACCGTGTAACGCGGTATTCTTCTAGGGATACCTAATCTTTTCTCGTCGGGACTTGATTTTCTGAATGACTGAATCTCTACATACAGGCAGAAGAGTGATGAAGTGTAGGTGATGTGTTTATCTGTGAAGGAAATTAGACATGCTGCTAAGAGCCAGCTAAATAGAAAAAACAGCACAACTTTAAGGCCAGCTAGCTTGGTTAAATTTTAAAGAATAACAAGAACAAGTGCAGATGCAAAATTCTTGCATCTAGAGAATGGCAAAGATACCTTGTATTGAAGTAGGTTTTCAGAAAACTTTATGTGCAGATAAACAAACAATTGTAAGCCCTGAGGGCTAGCTCAAGTACAGTGGTCCAACACCTGACCTAATGTCAGTACACTTTATGTGCAGATAAACAAACAATAGTAAGTCCCGCGGGCTAACTCAAGTGGTCGAGTACTTGGCCTAAAGTCAGTACTTTGGGTTCAACTCTCACCAACAACATCTTGGAGCTAGGACTCCCAAGGTAGAGATGAATCTCTTGTGCGCAGAAATGAGCTCCCCAAGCTAGAGAACAAAAAAAATGGAAACCAAAAAAGCATGTTAGAATACATAACTACTAATTGAAAAATGACAAAATCAGTATTAACATTACACTCACCAAGGTGCATTTACATCAGCACACTGGAAAGCAAAGCAAATTAAAGTCAGAGCAGCAAAGCAAATTAAAGTCAAAGCCAACAATTTTCCAGTAGCTCATCCCATTAGCAATGCCAGAACTCTACCAAACAATCCCATTATGTAAATCAATTATTCCAATGGTCCACCAAGCTAGGTGAACCATCTTCTTCATTCAATTAATTTCATTAGCTCACCCAACCACCACTCAACATACTCAGATTGCTCCAAATCAACAGATAGACTCAGTAGCAACCCATTCAAGCCAATGTAGCTGCGGGTTTCTCTCCCTCATCCAAAAATAACAGTAACCCAGGAATCAAGGACATTTCTACAGAGCAAAGCACAAGGCCTCAATTCCTTTCCTTAGCAAGACACAATTACTCAATAATCAATATCATAGCATGAATGCAACCAACACCAAAAAACAACAAAAAAGTTACAGAGAAAAAGGTATTCTTGGATGGGTATCTGTGAAAAGCTCAAAAACACTTCACCTCAACCCAAGTACCCAACCAAATCAAAGGCTCAAAGAATAGAAGACTACAAGGAAAAAGAAGCACTCTTTGTCTGATAAATGGAACAGAAAGCAAAAACAAGTGGAATGATAAAGCTCCAACCAAAAATCCAACACACCACCCATACCACCTAAAAAAAAAGGCAGAAGTGTCAAATAGGTCCATCTACTACTGCGAAGTGCTCAATTCCCACCATGAATTAAATTAAGTGTCAAATAGGCTCATCTACCAATTAAATTTGTTTGATTAATTTTTTTTACAGGTTGTTAACAAGTTACCTATTCAATTAATAATAATAAAAAATAAAAAATAAAAAATAAATAAATAAATATATATATATATATATATATATATATATATATATATATATATATATATATATATATATATATATATATATATATATATATATATATATATATATATAAAGCCCAAAAAAAAAAAAGAATTTCATGGTGGCTGCGCCATTTTTCACCTCCATGGACCACCGCCGTCCACAGCTCCTCCGCCAACATTTCCCGGCTGAAAATCACTTACCCAGATTGCTACCGTGCTTTAATTATCGACTTTGTTGAAGTTTTTTTTTTTTTTTTTTTTTTTTTTTTTGGAGTTATGGCGAAGGCTAATAGCAACTCGGCGGCGCCCGACGGTGGTGGGTTGACGGAGGAGATGACGGCGAAGGCGGCGGCGGCATGTATGGGCAGCAGCATATGGTGTTGTCGGGTGGAAAGGAGGATTTAGGAGCTCTGGCCAAGTTAGAAGATAGTGTGAAGAAGCTAAAAAGAGTCCGAAATCATCGCCTGGACCAACTTTGAGCAAGTCCCAAATTGATTCAGCATTCGATTATCTGGCAGATTGGGTGTATGAATGTTGTGGGTCAGTCTCTTTTTCCAGTCTTGACCACCCAAAATTTAGGGCATTTCTCAACCAAGTTGGACTGCTCCCAATTTAAAGAAAAGAGTTCGCAGGTTCCAGGTTAGATGCCAAGTACGAGGAAGCCAAGGTTGAGTCCAAGGCGAAAATCCGAGATGCCATGTTCTTTTCAGGTTGCAGCTGATGGTTGAATGGCAAAGAAGCATGGGCATGCTGATTTTTTTTTTTTTTTTGGTTATTGGCAACCAAAAAAGTCATGAATAGGCATGCTTTATTTATTTATTTATTTATATTTTTTAATAATTGAATAGGCAACCTGTTAGTAATCTGTAAAAAAAGTTAATCGAACAAATTTAGCTACTAGATGTGCTTATTTGACACTTAATTTAATTCGTGGTGGAAATTGAGCACTTCGCAATAGTAGATGGACCTATTTGACACTTCTGCCAAAAAAAAAAAAAGAAAAATTCTCAAATAGATGTAATTCAATCTCTGCATAATTGTTACCAGACGCAAAGAGACAAAATCAGCTTTCCTTTCACTTTAGTTTTGATTCTCCTTAAGACGCTTTTGCTGCACTAATTTGTTTGTTGTGTTTCTTCGACTGTGCTTCTCCTAATTGCCTTGTGTTTGATTCTCCTTAGTCACGGACGGCCATTAAATTGCCATTAAAATTTGACGTAAACTTCAATTTTGTCACCGCGCACCTTCATTTGACGGAATAGTTAAATTTAACATTGAAAGTTTGGTAAAATTAAGAAGACTGAGGTTATATTAGGATTTTAAATTGGCATTGTATAATTACAAAGGCACAAAGTACAATTCTTTAGAGCATGTGTTGTACCGACATTTTTTAGTTCCTGTTAAGAGTCAAACAATATTAGCTCTTATTAAAGAGGTAGAGATAATATATATAATAGATATTACACATTATTACATGTCTTGAAATGATTGATTCCTGTCATCCTCAATTCCTCATCAAAAAATACAAGCACCAATTTTTTTTTTATCGGTAATAATATTTCCTCAACCCAAAAAGTAAAGACAAAGAAAACATATATATATATATATATATATATATATATATATATATATATATATATATATAGGGTTGAGTCCAAATGAGGATAACAATATATAGAGGGACTGTGAGGACAAATAATGGGCACACAACAAATTACTATCAGCCACACAATTTAATACATAATGGCACACAAGAATACGTGTAAGTATCAGGTTTCGAACCCAGACTCTATTAATTAACAAATGTATGCACGCGACATACAAACTGTGGCACACGATTACATTCGGCCATGCACACAACATACAGGCTAATGGCACACTACATCTGTCCTCATATATAATATACTTGTCCTCATTTGAACGCAAGTCTATATATATATATATATATATAGGGAAGGGTTCAGGTGCGGATATAGCTTTCCGTGCAGTTGTGCGGTTAGATCTGAGCCGTTGATCAAATTTAGATCAACGGCTCAAATCAATGAAAATTATTAAAAAAAAAAAAGTGTCTGGAAGGAAGAAACACCTTAAGTGATAGATTTTAAGCACAAACTCACGCATATTAAGTACAAAACCACACACATTAAGCACAACTTCACGCACATTAAGCATAAAACCCACGCACTTTAAATATTAACTCACAGACTTTAAGTTTCAACAACTACTGACATTAAGCACAAACTCACGCACATTAACTACAAAACTCACACACATTAAGCACAATCTCACGCACATTAAGCATAAAACCCACGTACTTTAAATATTAACTCACAGACTTTAAGTTTTAACAACTACTGACATGAAACACAAACTCACGTACATTAAGTACAAAACCCACACACATTAAGCACAACTTCACGCACATTAAGTACAAAATCCATACACTTTAAATATTAACTCACATACTTTAAGTTTCAACAACTACTGAAATTAAGCACAAACTCACGCACATTAAGTACAAAACCCACACACATTAAGGACAACCTCACGCACATTAAACACAAAACCCACACACTTTAAATATTAACTCACATACTTTAAGTTTCAACAACTACTGACATTAAGTACAAACTCACGCACATTAAGCACAACCTCACGCACATTAAGCACAGAAGACCACACTTTAAGTTTTAACAACTACTCACATTAAGCACAACCCCACACACATTAAGCACAAAACCCACGCACATTACGCACAAAACTCATGCATCTTATATACAAAACCCACGCACATTAATCACAGAACCGCTCACCTTAATTTTGACCTAGATGCAAAAATTACAAATTTGCCACCGCGTTTTTTTAAAAAAAAAAATTTTGACAATCCTGAACGTTGATTTATGCGAGATAAATGGCCCAGATTAAACCGCACAACTGCACCTAGACACTCTAACCGCATCAGAACATATATATATATATGGTTCTTGCAGTCAGTCAGTCACTAGATTGAATTGGAATAAATTTTCAGACACTGAGACAAACACTAAGCATTAATAAAGATGATAGAAATCATCGCCAAATTCTTAATTAAATGCATTTCTTTAGCCATTTATTACTTCACACTTCATTGACGATGTCATCGTTAAAAATAAAATATGCTTCAATTCACGCAACTTGTAGTGTGTCTTAGTCTAAGTAAATGGTCTCGGTGACACTAATGCCGGATATTATTTGGACGTTTTCGTCGATGGCTTTTCACGAATATACGTAGGAAATGCAAACTAGATAGCGACCAAGATATGTATATATAGAATACTCCATGTTGCTCCAACGTTATGGGATGTATAGTAAATGGTTGTTAGCTGATAGCTATTAGCTGATTGAATTAGTGTGTGTAATTAGTTGATAACATTATTTGATTGTAGAAATGTGTTAGGTAAATTAATTGTTAGCTGATTATATACAAAATGACTTTCTCAAAAAGCTACTTTGAACATGTTTTTGAATTTTATTATTTTAGATCAATAAATTGTTACAAAAAGCTCATTGTTCAAACATTCATATTGATTGTTTAATCAAGTAAAATAGTTAATAGTTAGTGGTCAAATAAGTCAAAATTAGGTGATATGTAAACTATTTTACATAACAGGACCTATATATCACTGTTGAAAATTATGGAATTTTCCATCACCTGAAAGTGATCTTAAATCAAGTCGAAAGCAAAAAGTGGTCGGAAATAGCAACAAAGGTTTTTCCGGATACCAAAAGTGGTCGGAACAAAGCTTTCAACTTGATTTAAGATCCCTTTCAGGTGGTCGAAAATTTCATAATTTACAGCTGTATATATTGGCCCTGTTTGATAACATAGTTAGCCTATCAGTTAATTTTAACTTGTTTGACTTGGTTAAATTGCTAATATGAGTGTTTTATTAATTACCCTAAAGTTAAAAAATGATTAACTTTTTGAGAAAGTCATTTTGCATATAATCAGTTATCAACTAACAGTTAATTTACGAAACATATTTCTACACTCAGCTAATGCTATCAACTAAAAACTATTTACCAAACACCCCATTATATTTTTGGATATACGAGATTACGAGCCATTATTTTATATGTGCATATATACATTATTTATAGTAGCGAACTGCAATTCAAGCCTCTGATCTGATCTTCTGCAGCAACAGAGCCTACAAAGTAAAGTCTGTCTTCATTATCTTTCTCTACTAGCCTGGGTAATAGGGAAGATGGGAGAGGAGAAGGGAGCAGGTGATGGAAGTGAGGATTATACACGAGATGGGACAGTGGACCTCAAAGGGAGGCCTGTCCTTAGATCAAAAACTGGGAGATGGAAGGCATGCTCCTTCATTGTAGGTATGTATATATGTATGTGTTTATTTTGTATGTTTTATTTTATTTAATTTTATAGTAGATAGATGTTTTGTTAGGATCATTATTGGGCAGAGGCTTGAAAGGTCAAGTCCAGTATCAAATGTCTAAGGGATTGTTTGGTGAAGGGCTGAAGTTTCATCCAAGTTTAGCACTCTAATATGCCTTTTGAAGATGTTCTTGGCGCTGAATGCTACACATGTATAAAAAAAAATAAAATTACATCTTAGTTATAACTTTTGGCATATTTATAAGCATTTGATCCTAAAATAACTGATGAAAATTATGTAATTTTTGATCACCTGAAAGTGATCTTAAATCAAGTCGAAAGCCTTGTTTCGTCTACTTTTGGTATCCGGATAAATCTTTGTTGCTATTTTCGATCACTTTTTTACTTTCAACTTGATTTAAGATCACTTTCAGATGGTTGAAAATTTCATAATTTCCAGCCGTGAATGTTTGATGAAACTAATATAAGGGTTGTGGGTGGGGTGTAGGATATGAAGTTTTCGAGAGGATGGCGTATTATGGGATCTCATCAAACCTAGTGTTGTACCTGACGAGGGAGCTGCATGAAGGCACCGTAAAATCCGCAAATAATGTCACCAACTGGGTTGGGACTGTATGGATGACACCTCTTTTAGGGGCCTACATCGCTGACACTTATCTGGGTCGATACTGGACTTTCATCATAGCCTCCGCCATTTACTTCATGGTAAAAATATCTTGTATTTTTATAACTGTATTAGAATTAAGTTTTTTTGTGCTTATTAATATGCTAAAAGTTATAGTTTGTAGGTAAGGTTTAATTTTATTTTTTTAAATTGTCACAAATTTTAGAGGCAAGTGCTGAACTTGACCCTTTAGATCTATGCGCTCAACAATCCCTTAGTTACTTGTGCTAGACTTGGCCCTTCATCAACCTTCACCCAACAACTCTCCTGGTACCTATTAGTTTTAATTGAACAGTTTACTTTCTGTAGTGAAGACACAACTTTATTTATCTTATACCGTCACATTTTCGAGAGGCAGGTACTGAACTTGGTCCTTCATGCCTCCGCCCAACAATCACCTAGCCTGAACTTGGTCACTCACCTGCCTCTGCCCGATAATATGCTAAAAGTTATAGTCTTTAGAGAAGGCTCAATTTTATTTTCATTAAATCGTCACATATTTTAGAAGCAGGTGTGAACTTGGGCCTTTAGACCTCCGTGCCCAACAATCCCTTAGCTATGGACTTGACCCTTCATCAACCTTTACCCAACAACTCTCCTCGTACCTGTTAGTCTTAATTGCACAATTTACTTTCGGTAGTGAAGACGCAACTTTATTTTCCTTATACGGTTCGAGAGGAAGTGTTGAACTTGGTCCTTCATGCATGTCTCCGCCTAACAATCATCTAGTCTGGACTTGGCCATTCACCTGCCTCCGCACAACAATAATTCTCCTCACAGCTGTCAGTCTTAACTGTAGTTTATTCTTGGTGAGTCTCGAATCTGTGTTATAGCTCTTGACATAATAGGAAGCCTTTTGATCATAACAAAGTGCATTGTAGCTAGCTAGCTAGCTAGTCATGTACACATAATATTTATTGTATGTATGTATGCAGGGAATGTGCCTATTGACATTGGCTGTTTCACTCAAAGCCCTAAAGCCTCCCACCTGCGGTAATGGAATCAAAGATGAGGACTGTAAAAAGCATGCCTCTTCACTACAGATAGGCGTGTTTTACTTGGCGCTGTACATAATCGCAGTAGGCACAGGAGGAACCAAGCCCAATATCTCAACCATGGGTGCTGACCAGTTCGACAATTTCGAGCCCAAGGAAAGGTTCCTAAAGCTCTCATTTTTCAACTGGTGGATGTTTAGCATCTTCCTAGGTACTCTGTTCTCCAACACCATCCTCGTCTACATTCAAGATGATAAGAGTTGGAGCGTTGGTTATGCGGTGCCAACTGTTGGGCTGCTGGTTTCGGTACTGGTTTTCGTTGCTGGGACTCCATTCTATAGGCACAAAACCCCCTCTGGCAGCCCACTCACTAGGATGGCTAAGGTTCTTGTGGCTGCGTTTCGGAATATTAAGGTGCCTGTCCCAACTGACCCCAAACTGCTTCATGAGCTCAGCTTGGAACACTACTCCAACTCTACCATCCCCAGAATTGATCATTCCTCCACTCTAAGGTATGTATATATAGTGGTAGGATGGAGCATTTATCACTACCTCAAAAGTTATATAGTTAGTAGTTGTTATTTTATGCTGTCACATTTTTTAGAGGTAAGGAATGTGTTAAACTTGGCCTTTCACCTGTCTTCGTCGAACGATTCTCGCAGCACTTGTGAGCCTTAATTGTACAGTTATTACTCTTACTGAAATCACTTGTTAGCATCAAATGCTTACCACTATTCAGGGGCGGTATCATAAATTTTCTCGAATAGGGGAGAAAGGTTAAATTAATGAGATCAGTTATTACTCTTACTGATATCACTTGTTATCATCAAATGCTTACCACTATTCAGGGGCGGAACCATAAATTTTCTCGAATAGGGGAGAAAGGGTTAAATTAATGAGATAAGTTATTACTCTTACTGAACACAAGTGTTATTGCAAATTGTCGTTTGTGGTTGCCCACTTGTCGGTTTATGCTTCTTTAAAATATATATGTATATTTAGCTTGGAAATATCTTGAGTCTTGACCGACGACGGGCAGCGGCAACATCAGCTTTGACGAGCATTTCCTCCGATTGCATGGATGTGGCTGTGGTTTAGCTTGGAAATTCTATGGTGAGAGGTGTTCATGTTTGATGGTGTTTGAGTGTTCATTGCTAGTGTAGAACCAAATATGCAAGAGAGAGATCGCTGGAGAAGGGAGGAAGAAGAAGTTAATGAAAATACCATTTTAACCCTTATATTAAGGCCTAACAAACTGATCTTTTAACGGAAGGACCAATACTGGAATGAATCTGATAGTAAGGGTCTATTTTGTCCAAATTAATAGATGAGGACTAATTTTGAAAAATCGCAATAGTCAAAGGACAATTGCTGGAATTAACTCTTTTTAGTTATATTCGAACTTCTACTATATGTATTAATAGGGAAAACTCAATTTTATTTCATTGTACCGTCATATTTTTCAAAGGCAAGATGATGGATTTCGACCTTCAACATATAAGTAATCAGTGATATATATATATATATATATATATATATATATATATATATATATGTTCTAATTAATTTCAATTCCTATCTATATATCTTTAATTTGATAGGTTTCTTGATAAAGCGGCCGTGGAAAGTGGGGAAACTAGTCCATGGAGGCTCTGCCCAGTGACCCAAGTAGAAGAAACAAAGCGAATGCTAAAAATGGTGCCAATCCTCATGGCAACCATCATCCCCAGCACCGTGGTAGCTCAAGCACACACACTCTTCATAAAGCAAGGGACAACCTTAAATCGCCACCTGCTAGGTTCCAACTTCGAAATCCCCCCCGCATGTCTCACCGCCTTCATAACCATCTTCATGCTGCTATCCATCGTGGTCTATGACCGCCTCTTCGTCCCCTTCATTAGGCGCTACACAAAAAACCCAAGAGGAATCACCTTGTTGCAGAGAATGGGGATTGGTCTGGTCATTCATGTCGTCGTAATGGTCGCTGCGTTCTTAGCCGAGAGGAAGAGGTTAAGTGTGGCTAAAGAGCATGGGATTGTTGCCCAGAAAGGGATAGTTCCTTTGTCGATCTTTGTTCTGCTTCCCCAGTTTGGTTTGCTGGGAGTGGCGGATAACTTCTTGGAAGTGGGGAAGTTGGAGCTTTTTTATGACCAGGCGCCGGAAGGGATGAAGAGTTTGGGGACGGCGTATTTCACGACGAGCTTGGGGGTTGGGTTTTATCTCAGCAGTGTTATTCTGTCTGCCGTGGCGGACATCACGAAGAGACATGGCCACCATGGATGGATCTTGGATAACCTCAATGTCTCGCACGTGGATTACTACTACGCCTTCTGTGCGGTTCTTAGCTTTCTCAACTTGCTGTTTTTCCTGTTTGTTGCCAAGAACTTTACTTATAACACTGAGGGGGAGTTGCAGGAATCCATGCACCCTTCTCAAGAAAGCTAGCCTAATTATATTAAAACTAGCTCCCATCCATCGCTCTATCATTATATTGGATATCAATTCAAATGCATGCATGCCTCTAATTGATAGATGTTTCTGTTTTCTAGTATGTCCATCTTTGAAATGTTCTTCCATGATCCAGCTAAATTAACTAATATGCGGGTGCCGCGAGGCTTAATTTAATGATTTAGGGGTTATCATCCTAAACGATTCACAAACCCATAATTTAATGATTTAGAGGTTATCATCCTAAAGGATTCACAAATCCACAAGAGAGAATAATTGAAACTAAATGTCATGACAAGTAATTTATCCATGAAAAAAAAGACATAAATCATTCAAGCAAAAACGCACATGTTTACAAAAATTCAAATGGGAATCTAATCAAGCTTATGAGCATACTTTCCAACTTCTCAAAATATTTCCAATAATAATAACAATTCATCATTTAAGCACAAAAGTTCAAAACTCAAAAGTGACACTTGGAGTGAGTTCAAAATTAGCTCAAAAGGAAAATAAAAACATATGTCAAAAGTAGCAAGATTAGTCAAAGGGATAGGAAATACTCCCTCCGTCTCATTTCACTTGTCTTAGGTTAATCCCATCCAAGAAATTTTACCCATTTCTAAATGACATGGAAGAGAGAGAATACATTTTTTATTCTTTTTTATGCTGATGTGTATTGAAATGGGAGAGAGAGTTTGCTAAAGTAGAAATAAGAGAGAATTTGCTAATGAAAGAAAAACCTGCAAAAGTTGCTGAAAAAGATAGACTTCACAACTTTTGATGTCTTTTTTATTTTTATTATTTCTTTTAATATTATTTTATTATATTCTAAAGTTAATAATGTGTGGTGTAGACTTATTCACCACACTCTTAGCGTATTGTATAGGAAGCTCTTATTTATTGTATATCTTGTACATTCTATCTGGTTGTTATATATTGAATGAACTGAATTCCCTAAACTTATCTGGTATCAGTTAGCCTTGTTCCCTTTCTTTCGTATTCTCTCCCCTTCCTCACCGACTATGTCTTCTTCCGGATCCGAGAGAACCCTCACGACAACCACCATACCCACACTGGCTACACCCACCTCCCTCAATGCCGCTAATTATTTTGTTTCATTAACCCATAATTATTGTACGAATAGGAAAGTAGAAATCAATATATTTTATTTGGAAGAGAGATATTTTAGGAATTGGGCGGAAAGTTAAAATTGCATGATTTTGTTTTTATATATAGTATAGATAGTATAGATGTATAGATAGATAGATTACAATAGGAATTGTATTACAATATTTTATAATATTAGAATAGAATTTTAACCCAGAATTATTGTACGAATAGGAAAGTAGAAATCAATATATTTTATTAAGAAGGGAGATTTTTTAGGAATTGGGCGGGAAGTTAAAATTGCAGGATTTTGTTTTTTATATATAGTATAGATGTATAGATAGATAGATTATAATAGGTATTGTATTACAGTATTTTATAATATTAGAATAGAATTTTAACCCAGAATTATTGTACGAATACGAAAGTAGAAATCAATATATTTTATTAGGAAAGAGAGATTTTTTAGGAATTGGGCGGGAAGTTAAAATTGCAATATTTTGTTTTTTATATATAGTATAGATGTATAGATAGATAGATTACAATCGGGAATAGAATTTTAACCCATAATTATTGTACGAATACGAAAGTAGAAATCAATATATTTTATTTGGAAGAGAGATATTTTAGGAATTAGGCGGCAAATTAAAATTGCAGAATTTTGTTTTTATATATAGTATAAATAGATGTATAGATAGATAGATAGATTACAATAGGGATTGTATTACAGTATTTTATAATATTAGAATAGAATTTTAACCCAGAATTATTGTACGAATAGGAAAGTAGAAATCAATATATTTTATTAGGAAGAGAGATTTTTTAAGAATTAGGTGAGAAGTTAAAATTGCAGAATTTTATTTTTATATATAGTATAGAATACATAGTAAGATTAAAATGTTAAATACATGTTTGTAATATTGACGTAATATGTGTTAAATAAAGGTTGGCAAACTCAAAATTACATAATACCATATAAAGAATACACATTAATTCAAAAAAAGACAAACGTTAATACCTAATTCATTAATTAGTCTATATTCATAATATTCCGTGTAATGTTAATTAATTTTTAGATATATATATATATATATATATATATATATATATATATATATATATATATATATATATATATATATATATATATATATATATATATATATATATATATATATATAAAAAGAAATACACGTTAATTATTCCCTTATTCAAAATATGTACACGTTAATAATATTTCCAAGATTAATTGGTCTATACCATAATAATATTTTCATAATTAATTAGTCTATATTCATAATATTCCGTGTATTATTAATTAATTTTACACGTTAATAATATTTTCAAGATTAATTAGTCTATATTACCAGCCATAATAATATTTTCATAATTAATTAGTCTATATTCATAATATTTTGTGTATTATTAATTAATTTTTGGTTTTATATATATATATATATATATATATATATATATATATATATATATATATATATATATATATATATATATATATATATATATATATTACATAATATCATATAAGGAATACACGTTAATTCAAAAAAGATAAACGTTAATACCTAATTCATTAATTAGTCTATATTCATAATATTTCGTGTAATGTTAATTAATTTTTGGTTATATATATATATATATATATATATATATATATATATATATATATATATATATATATATATATTATTACGTAATACCATATAAGTAATACATGTTAATTATTCCCTAATTCAAAAAATTTACACGTTAACAATATTTCCATAATTTATTCATTGACTCAGTTATGAATTGGTTCAACCAATTTCGATTCAGTGTAATATTGTCATAATAATATTTTCATAATTAATTAGTCTATATTCTGTCATATTTAAAATATTTTTTATTCAATTGACTCATTCATGATTTGGTTAAACCAATTATATGTAATATTATCATAATAACATTTTCTAATTAATTAGTCTATATTTTGTCATATATAAAATATTTTTTATTCAATTGACTCATTTATGAATTGGTTCAAACAATTTTGTGTAATATTATCATAATAATATTTCGTAATTAATTAGTCTATATTATGTCATATTTAAAATATTTTTTATTCAATTAATTTAGAGTTGTACAATGAGGCTCCTCTAGTTCTTCGTAGTATATCACGGAGCATAATTAACTAATTAATACTTAATAACATTTATTATTAATTTGACTATTAATATTAGGCAATTATATAAATAATCTATAATATTAATTAGGTCTTGCAACGCTGATGTGAGCATAATTAATATATTTTTTATTCTACAACAATATCATAAATTAATATTATGCTAATTAATAATTAATAAAATTTATTATTAATTTGACTATTAATATAGATTTGTATAAATATTTGTTATTCAATTGTCTCATTTATGAATTGGTTCAACGAATTCCGTGTAATATTTCGTGTAATATTAATTAATTTTTGGTATATATATATATATATATATATATATATATATATATATATATATATATATATATATATATATATATATATATATAACCAAAAATTAATTAACATTACACGGCATATTATGAATATAGACTAATTAATGAATTAGGTATTAACGTTTACCTTTTATGAATTATACCTTATAAGGAATACACGTTAATTATTCCCTAATTCAAAAAATTTACACGTTAACAATATTTTCATAAATTATTCAATTGACTCAGTTATGAATTGAATTGGTTCAACCAATTCCGATTCCGTGTAATATTACCATAATAATATTTTTATTATTAATTAGTCTATATTCTATCATATTTAAAATATTTTTTATTCAATTGACTCATTTAATTTGGTTAAACTAATTCCGTGTAATATTATCATAATAACATTTTCAAAATTAATTAGTCTATATTTTGCCATATTTAAAATATTTTTTATTCAATTGACTCATTTATGAATTGGTTCAAACAATTTCGTGTAATATTATCATAATAATATTTCATAATTAATTAGTCTATAATCTGCCATATTTAAAATATTTTTTATTCAGTTAATATAGACATGTACAATGAGGCTCCTTCAGTTCTTCGTAGTATATCACGAAGCATAATTAACTAATTAATACTCAATAAAATTTATTATTAATTTGACTATTAATATTAGGAAATTATATAAATAATCTATAATATTAATTACGTCGTGCAACACTGATGTGAGCATAATTAATATATTTTTTATTCTACAACAATATCATAAATTAATATTATGATAATTAATAATTAATAAAATGTATTATTAATTTGAATATTAATATAGATTTGTATAAATATTTGTTATTCAATTGTCTTATTTATGAATTGATTCAACGAATTTCGTGTAATATTTACAAAACCGAAACTATATTGTTAAAATTGTATTTTTAAAATATTAAATAAAATATAAATTAAATTTGATTAAATTATTAAATTATACATAACAAAAATGTCAATATCGGACCTAAATTAAAAAATTCGATTTTAATTCAATTAATTAAATTCTTTAGAGGATGTTCTTAATTCGCAAATTAAAAACATAGTGCAAAATACGAGTAAATTATTAGTTTTGTTTCTATACTCATTATAAACCACCTCAAATCTATTAATTCGATAAACTTTGCCTTTTTAAAATTTATAAAAAAATCATAATCGTCAACTACAATTTTAGAAAAACAAAATATTAAAATTAAGATTATAGTACATATATATATATATATATATATATATATATATATATATATATATATATATATATATATATATATATATATATATATATACCTATAATTATGTAGTACGCACTCTATAGAGTTTATGGTTTCAGAACCTCTTGTCTCTGGAAGACAAACGACACGAAACACTCTAAACCTGA